TGCCGTACAATAATATAAACATATCGAGGGGAGGCAAAAAACATGGAAGATGAAGAGATTAGAGTTTTAAATCTTATAGACACGTCACGAAGAAAAGCACATTAAAGGAGGATAGATATACGATCATGAAGTTTCCTAGATTCAAATGATATGGTATGAATAAATTCACACCCGTGTGATCAATTCTGTGCCATATCACCTTCACGATCTCAGCTGGCAAATAGATACAAATCAGGAACCACACAGTTTCACATAATCAGTGTCTCAACATTGAAAGACTTCATAGAGTGGTGCGAAATCCTTATATAACCACCATTAGTCTTTTTATACCCCAGGTCTACTTAAGCAGCAGCCACCGTCACAAGAAAATTCGAATACAGTAAGGTACTAGAAACGATCTTATAGATAAGCTGAGAATGAACTATCTGCCTGATAAATGTACCTCAGTAATCAGATACATGTTTGTGAACTGGTCCATGAGCCGTACATATCTACATTGATTGATAACTGGAAAGTAACTAATTTCATGTTGTCCTGTTATAAGCGCTGACAAAATTTGAACGATTGTTTCATCATCACAGTGCAATTCGATTTATTTTTAAGCGACTCAAGGCAACCAGCAAGAAGCAAAGAAACTTATTTTCATGCTGTTTGGCTTTCGTTAGCAAGGTCTACCTACAGATTGAACCAGTGTCTACCACAACCCACACACCTCAGTCGTAAGGTCTCTTGACCGCAGTATTGAGTGACACAGGTCAAGACATCTGAGCCAATATCAATTTCTTGGAGGTTTTAGATACACTCTAATGACGATGACCAACAAACATGAAACCTAAATCCACAGTTTTCTATTTCCAGCTCTATATATCTATTGAAGGCAACATACGCTACCTAGATGATCAGACTGAGGTGTCAGATGGCAAAGCAATCTACACCACAATAGTTATAAGAAGTATCTTTGCATTGTCAAAAAACTGCTTATTTGACGCATTTGCTGATTTTATTTTATGTGCTAAAAACTGCTCATATTAATTATTATTGTTATCTGCTCAGGTGAGTAATCTTAACCTTTAAAACCATATTTTCGCTTTGGCAACACTTAATTGGTAATAATGTTATAGATGTGTTATGTGTGGGTTTATTTTTCAGTTCATAAGTTATGAAAGTAAGTTCAAGATCATCTGTGAGTATGGAGTCTTGTGGCTTTCTGGCGTATACCTTTGATCTACAACACTGAGACCACTTGTTCTTATGCCATCCTTATAGACTTGGATTTACGCTTGCGGATAGAAAAGTTATTTCTCCGACAGCACAGATGCTATTGATGGTGCGATGTAACCAAAATGAGTTTAATAATGATTTGCAGTATGCATATAATCGTTATTGTATGTATATATGATTACCCGTAAGCTGCAGGTTAATGCCAGAATATCATTATTGAACTTCTCACTTATCAAAACGAAACCAAGGAAAACCAAATCGGAAGTTGAAAAACAGAAAACAATTTACTGTGGTATGAAAGGAAGTTGAAGAGGCTGTGATTCGAATACTCCAGATTTACTATTTATTGCAAATGCTCATTCACACATTAAAGCCTGTAGATGCTTACTTATCAGAATACAAACAAACTAATTCACATCAAAAGCATTAATAAAGGTAAAATAAGCTTGTCTATCAATAAGAGAGATATGTCAATGGTAAGACTGGTTAGTGTTGTACAATACAGAGGTGCAGTTTAGACTTTGATGAAAAGGTATATTGAATATTCGCAATATTATCCGCAACATTATGAGGAAGTTGTTTCTCACTAAACGGATGTGACTCGACACGGTGATCCTTCATTGAAGGTATGTGGATGATAAATAAGTTCGTTACACTACGTTATATCTACGTATAAAAAAACAGATAATGTAATTACTGCGGTACAACTTTGCCTAAGGCATATATTCAGCATGTGGAACAAGATGCGGCGATTAATCCGCTGAGGAGACAACCGGGAAGATGAGAGGAACAGTTCAACTGGCCTCCAGCCACTATTGTGTTGCCGGCTTTCCACCTGGATCCTAAATCGAACATTTACATAAGCCACTAACGCTTTCAAAAGTCGAGAAAGTAGTAGGTAGCTTGAAACTAGGAAGGGCAGCAGGACCAGACAGACTAGTTCATGGAGTATGTAAGGATGGTTATAGATAATTACTGATCAAATTAACATAAGTGTTAACTACTGTGTGTGATCCCGTCTGACTGCTTTCAACTACTGATTATCCCAGTCTTCAAGGCGAGAAGTCCCCTTGTGATAACCACGGAAAAACCAATCTAACGAACAAAGTGTCTAAGATTCTAGGTTCTATAATCATTAGACGCCTGAGTGGAGCTCGGGAACGGCAAGCCTGAAAAGACCGAGCAGCCTTCAGAACAGGCCGTAAGTGTATCCACAAAACATTCGCAATCCGCTAAGTTTCGGAACACAGATAAGCTTACGGATGCCCAACAACTGCTGTTTTGTTGCTACAGGACTGGCCGTCAACAAAATTCCGGTTAACAGTTTTCTGGACCTGGCTCCACGACTGCCCACAAGCTTTCATTTCTTCTTCCATGTCACCCTCGGATGTCCAACTCGTTGTTACCTCTTAGGATACAACTCGAAGACTTGGCCTAGCGCATGTTGTCTCCAACCGGCCTTCTCAGTATATGCCCAATCCATCTCCACTTTCTTCTGCATCTTTGTTGGGTGATAGGTCCATGATTGGTTCGTTGCCAGAGTGCATTCCTTGTCGCTTAATTTTCTTCTTTCGAGGCTATCCCATCTGATCTTCAGTATCGAGTGTAGATAGCTACTGACGTGATGAATGTCAGCAGTTTGTTGGAAGTGCTTTTCGTAACTCGCCAAGTCTCTGAAACAGATAGAAGTACATACCGGAAAATCCGGATATTGTTGCTGATGCCGAGTACAGCAAATCTCAACATAGGTTTCAGATTAATTAACGCGTCTTGCTTTTCCGACACTGGCTGCTTTTATGTTCTCATCTGTGCCGCTGCCGCCTATAGTTGAGACAATGCTAAATTGCGCGGGTACCTGAAAGAGATCACTACCTCTAGATTTCTCCCATCGATGGTGATTACAACGATCTAGGTCGCCCTTCGTTAGAAGTTTGATTAAGTAGCCCTTCTTCCAATCAGTCAGCAAGTACCTTTCCCTCCTTCCAAACCTTCTACAATAGTGGTGTGAGCATGTCCGCTGTTGTCCCTGCATCTGCTCTCAGTGTTTCTGGAAGAAATTCCATTTGGTTCTACTGCTTTCCCGCATTTCAGTAGCTTTATGGCGTTCAGAACTTCCAATTTCGTCGTAGGATTTGTGTTCACCTGTAGTTCTGTGGCTGCAGGTGATATTTCTGGACGAAGTGCAGGTGGTGGCGGTCGACTCAAGAGTTTTTTGAAGTGGTCAGCCCATCGTTTCCTTTGTTTCTCCTCTTTGGTAATTAAATTTCCTTCATCATCTCTCATTGGTTTCATCTGCATTGATCTCTTCCCTCACAGATAGCAAGCTGCTCATTTGATATAATGTTGTCAGGTCTCTGTGTCTCCTACCAGCAGCCTGTTCTGCTTCACTTGCCAGTGTGTCGTAGAAGTGTCTTTTGCCTTTGGGAGCACTCTTCTTCACTTCTTTGTCCAGTGTAGTGTTTTATGCATTGTACTCAGTTCCTCTTCTCCTTGTGCATCCTTTCACTGGTCCACATTCTGCTTCACCACCCTCCTCTCCTCTATCAGTTTCCATGTATCCGTCGAGATCCATTCCTCATCTTATTTCTTCTTCCTTCCTAATACGGTTATGCAGGTTTCTTTCCACACCTCTTTCAAAGACTTCCAGTGTTCATTCACACAGGTTTCTTCAGGGATGTTGCTCAATGTCTCCCATTTTGTCCTGATGACTGACGTGAAGATTCTCTTTGTAGTTTTGTCCTTCAGTGCCTCTGTTGTGGGTGTTGAGCTTGAACTGTGGTCTACCATCAACTTTCTTGAAGGCTTTCAACTTGATTTGGAAGGTGGGTTCCTTGCACTAGATAGTGGGTTGTCTGAACCTACACCTGCTCCTCTTCTTGATTTGACCTTGTGTCAAGTAGGCTGGCTGTGTCTCCACCTTCTTCAGATTGAGATCAAGTTGGTCTGATTTTTAGTGTGTCCATCTGGTGAAATTCATATCGCTTTGTGAATATCCTTGTGTTTGTACACACTGCCTCCTATCACCAAATCGTTGAATGCGCAGAATTCTGCAAACAGTTCTCCATTCTCCTTCATCATTTCACCAAGTGCTTCTCGACTTATGGTGAGTTCTCTTCCTGTGTTGTCTGCTCCCTGCTTGGGATTCATGTCGCCCATTATAATTTTGGCGTCGCCGTTGCTGTCTGTGGTCTTGTCCAGTACTGATTGCAGTTGTCTGTAGAATTCCTCCTTCTTCTCTTCATCTGCATTATTTGTAGGCACATAGCGCAGCATTGAATGATTGTGACTTTGCTTCCTTTTGAATTGAATTTTGCTCTTATGACCCTGGAGGAGGAGATTGGTTCCAATTGCCTGAGAGCCTTCTATGCTGTTTGAGACATCATGATAGCCACTCGAGAACTCAGTGTGTGCTCGTGGTTGTCGTCTGGGCGACAATATCGGAGTAGATTATTGACTCCTCTCCAGTTGACAGTTTGGAGAGTCCACTTCTATTCCACCTGCTTTCTCAGATTCCTAGCCTAGCACTTCTGTGCTATACCTCCTCATCTCTTTTGCCTTCTGGGCAGCCCTGCTGGGTTCAAACGTGGTGTGAGTATTTCATGTCCTGACGTTTAATTTCGCTTTCATCGAGAGAGAGAGGGAGAGAGAGAGAGAGAAAGAAAGAAAAGACACATCGGCCAATTGACTTCCCGAAGTCTTTCACCAGCCGGCGTCGTTTCCTCTCTCCGATTCTAGCGAGGAATAATTTTGTTTTTGTTTTTATTCTTTGTTTCTATTTTGAAGTTTCTTAAGCGGTTAGATTGGTTTTATGGGGTAAGGTTGCTAACCCTATGGCCAACCTTCCCTCTTTATCCGGGCTTAAGACCGGCTATTAACTAGTGAACTAGTTAACCAGGCGAGGTTGTTTAGCTGCTGCAGGGGGTTCAAACCGAGATGCATTACGCGAAGTAGATGAGCGCTTGGGGGGAAGTTACCAAATTTTCTTTATCAGAATAAGACTATCCACTCAGATATGTTGTTAACGTAAGAACCCATGATAAGCGACGTTGGTGGCACAATCATCATAAAATAAACTACTATTTGACCTTAAAACAAACCACTCAGTTTTTAGTGAAAGTCTTACACAAATAAAAGGTCATAGTGAAGTGGACATAATACCAATGCTTCACGTTGGAAAGATTCAGAAGTTAGGAAATGTAATTTCTCATCACTTTTGTTGATGAAAAATGGACAAGAATACATGAAACAAAGTTATGAGCCTCTAGGATAACTTTAAAAATTGCCTTATTTTGGCAATTTTCAGTTAGGATTGACTCTGTTCTATTTTGGATAAGAACTGACTAAAAAAATTATCTGAGTCGAAAATGGGGATTTACTTAATTAACTGAATGAAGGTTTGTTTGAATGGTTCAGACACTCGACTTTCAACCAGCGAATCACGGAAGCGAACCTCGCTACACTTAACCATGTCTGGGCAGTGAGGTAGTACCACTAATCTTTGCAAAACAGGTGTGGCTCAGTGTTTACTTCACGAACTAAGTTATTCTAACTCCTCAAGAAAATATATTGGTGCCGATTCCGAGTGAAGAGCATACGGGGAGTTTTCGATTCACAGTATTTTATTGTTTTCAACTGTAATAACTTCAACTCATTATTCAGAAAGAACTCCAACTAAATGAACGTTTAGCTAGAGGTTTGAAAAGCAATGAAGTGGAAAACCTAAGTGGTTTTGTATGTATGTGCTTTGTAATCGGGTTAAACATACCACGACAACGTTGTATCTAGGTGTTCTGGTTAAATGACAAGTCTGGCGAGATTAGGAGAAATCTGACCGGAAAATCAAATATTCCCAGTTTAGAAGATCGTGTACTGAAAGAACAGTTGGAAATCGCGTAATGAAAAATGAAACAGAAGCTGCGCTATCTACAGGAAAACACGATATGCATGCAGTCTTCAGTATTGTAACAACTTCCACAATGTTGGCAGTTTTCGACAGTAAATGTATTCGACGATGCTTTTGTTTGGAGGTCACAGCTTTTTTAGAAGTGTGGTGTTTTCCTGTGGAATAAAGCATCTTTATTGGATCCACTAGTGAATACTTGTAATCATAATCTACCTGATACAATTTCATTTTATATGAGACGATTTCTCTCCATAAACCTAATTCTTTTACTTACCGATGTGTATTTCTAATTCACATCTTTGGCTAAATCATTGCATAGTGTTTCGAACCGAAATTTACTGATTAAGCATCAAACGCTTAAAACTAATGATTTGCTAAGTATTTTTATGTTCTTACACAAAGGGTGAAAGGATATTATGGTTCACATTACTCTGGAATAAACACACAGAAATAAAATAAGCACATCACGAATCCTCTATGTTTATCGGGGATTAGCCACTTTAGGTATTTAAAGATATACGTCGAGGAAATAAATATAATAAGTTAAACAAGTAACAACGACCCATTCATGTAATATACTGAAACACTACCGTGAAACTTGTTTTACTTTGGGAATGTTATGCAAAATACACAATCATCCTTGTATGTAAAATGCATTCATAGTGTACATGAAACAGAAGAGAGTTGAAGTAATAATATTGTATTTAACAAGGAGACAATGAAGATATATCATTCAAAAACAAGGAAACCGAAGAAAATTGCATACTAGAATTACTTGTAAAATATATTTAACAAGTTGGAATAAAAAAGAGGAACAAGAATTGCGAAACTAGTAGGACAGGAATATAGAAAACCTGAATACTACCGATTTACATGGTTGAATAAAAATTTCATAGATCCTGTGTAAGATGCCGTGCTGACTGATGATGACATGTTCAATTGCATGCTGTGGTGATCACTGTGATAGGGATTGATGTGTAGTGATCTCTAGTAAAGTAAATTAATTATGAATGCGGTTATTTTGTGGCCGATTTTGATGCCAAACACTCCGAAAAATTCTTCAGCTAAATTCTATTATAGTGTATGCTTAAAAAGAGCTTAGTGCAAAACGAACAGTTAAATAACACTTATTAATATACAATTAATAAAAAGGGCTATTTAGCCTTATTTAACTGAGATTTTAACGTCGCTAAAGCTAATTGGCATTTAGAAAAGCGAATACCATTACAAACTTTACCAAACCCGCAACTTAATCGAGCAGAAAAAGTGATTACATTCGAGAAAAGTTATTCAAACACACGTGGTTCAAAGACACAGAGAAATAGGGAAATCACTGTTAATTATATGAGTACATACTTATGGTATTAATGCTAGATTAAGCTAACGGATCAGTCTGAATACCGCTTTCGTAACAAGCGTAAGCTTAGAATGGCATCACTAACGGATTAATAATAATAGCAAGAGAAACTTAAATGGTTATACTGCCAAAGCGCCAAATATGGTGTGAGAATACTCAACAGATACCTATGAGTGTAAAATTTGGGCGATGTGACGATGTTATTTTAAACTAGACTTCTTTATTTGCCACAGCAGACGATGGTACAGCACTACTTATTTTGATAACTTTCCGCGCATAAATTGCTTACAATCACAGCATTCCATATGGCTTTTCCTTAGGAATCGAATAACAGTAATATAAATAGTGATGATAATATAAGAGGAAATTCACGGCTCCCATCGTGTTACCATGTAAGGAAGGAGTATCAGGAACTTCACGTAGAATTATTAACAAGGCTGGAGCTAAGGTGGCACTCAAACCTACAAACCCACCCTGAAACAAACTCTGTTGGCTTATAGATCCTACTGACCCAATAAGACAAATTAATTTGATCTACCGAATATTTTTGCAATGACTATGAGGTTGAACTAACCAATCAGATTATCAGAGCATAGAACTGTAGCTAAGTGTAGAATGATACACTCCAATAGGATCGATAGCCTAGAAAAAACTCAGCAATCGCAATGCATACACTAACACGCAACAGTACAATGTAGTGGAATAGAGCAACTGTACTTAGGTGGAGAGTTAGATCGATTACCAAATTTTTGTTTATCAAATCAACGTACAATTCATGATGCAACACCTATGTACCAGAGATGTGGGAAATTTTACAACTACTAAAAACAAAGAGAACGAGGTGATAGGACTATATAAGTTAGATAACGAGTATAGTGCACAACACGAGGAATTATTTATGCTCGAAAGGTCATCAAAATGAAAAATACTGCATCATTGCGTGCTATATCAGAAATTTAAAAAACAACATATCTAGATATTCAATTGTGTATATCAACCGGTTTGTCTCTTTTAAAAATTTATTTAAACAAAGCATTAATAAGACAACCATTATGATGATATCATTTCATAGTTTCCCTACAATCTCATAATAACTAAAATGCAGATACACAAAGTATAAAGAAATATTATTATCCAATCTCCGTTTTTCCATACAACTCCAAGTACTGATTAATAATTTATTACTGTAAACCATGTCAATTATTATAGGATTGTAGAGAAGCTACAAAATGTTATCATCTAGCACTAATTTTCTTCGTAATGACTTATCTAAAAAGATGCATACGTAAAACAGTTATCTCATAATCTGATTAGAAATAACACGTTGCGGCTAACTAACTAGTGGTTCCGTATTTTGACAACCGTATAGTCGGTTCATAAATTTCATATTTGTTTAAACAGGTACACAGAAAAACTATGATGGCACTGTATACATAATCTACCACCTCCTATATCATGGTACTTATCCTTTAATCTCATGATTTGATATGCTCGTAAATATTTGTCACTAGGTTTGTGGATATCCTGGTATTTTGACTGCTCCATAAGCTATAGATTTAACGTGTAGAGCTGTATGGGAGTAATCCTCAGAGCAGCTTCATGAGGATAACTTATTTTACACTATGTTTGTAAATGAAAATGGTTTATATCCTCCATCGTATCCCGCCTTTTCGAATATCACTGCATTATTCAATTATCAATGGTAATCAAACTACAAAAATACGGAGTTTATTCCTAATCAGAATAAAACTTACTAAAATCAGTCCATATTATCATTGCCGTTATGACTCTTATCACTTGGATGGCTTCCCACCTGGATTGGTTCAGCAGACAGATTAGGATTTGCGAATGCTAACTTAATCGTATACGGATGCGTACATTCTTCATCTTTAAGAGGCTGGTGATTACATAAAACCAGAGCTTCGCACGCCTCAGTGTCACTGCCCCATTTAATAGTACCAGAGGAGGGTTTATCTGGCACTTTTGAGAACTGATCAACATGCCTACAAAAGTAAAAAAAAAAATATTAAATGTATCAGGTTTCTACTAAGAAGATGCAAGAGCTGATAGTATCAAATGCTATAATGAGTAAATCATATGATTTAAAACTATACTCTTTTAAAGTTTTGGGGAATTAAGTAGGTAGAGAACCCTGAAAATGGCTCTGTGAGGGGTCTAAACGATAGCTGGTTGTAATCTGTCATAGTGTGGTGCTCTAATTGCACACAACGGATTATGGGTAAGCTTTAAGCAGATGTAATCAAAAGCTGACTTCAACTAAACGAACAAAGATATCTTACTACAGGCACTGACGTCTTTGATGAGCAATTGTTGAAATTGTTTATCGAAAGAATGATTATAACAACTGCAGTAAGCTCGACGAAAATTTCCTTTAGATTCAGATATTGAAGGAAAGCTTTCAGTATAACGAAAAAATTTTGAATTTCAAGTGTAAGCAGAAATTAGAAGCGAAATTTGCGACAGTGAACTAGAGATCCTACTTAGTATTACAGTAATATGCATCATGAACAATCTAACACAACAAATGTAAAAATTAAAGAACCTGTGGAAAAAGCGCATCGGTCCAAGTTGCCACAATTCACAGGAGCATGAAGAGGAGAAAAAGGACAAAAGGGTGATATCAAGGCAGATAAAAGTGCATGAGAGGAAAGAGAAGAAACAAACGAAAGTTTGTGAGAATGAAATTCCGAAGATGACCTAGAGTAAATACATATGCACCAATGTGACTGATTTCAAGGTATGCTAATAAAATTCTTGACTCACTGATTCCAATTGTCGCGTGAACTTTTATCAAGCCATCTACAACACTACATGGTTCACGTCGACAGTAAGAGACTTCATAAGTTGGTGTTACGTCTCAATCTGACCACCGTTAGGTCTTCCTTAGCATAATCCTACTTTGGTTGACACTGGACATCGAGGTTCGCAGTAGCTTAGCATTTGTATTGCGTGTCCAAGCCACCTCTCAGTAATAACCGAAACAACTACCATGCTTATTACCCTACATCTGATGTTGATATTGCTAACATAAATCTACCAAACGCGAGCAGTGCCACGAAAACACCTGTCAGACAGAAAGACACATATAGTGTAGAACCTCGTACAAAAGTGCATCGGTTCAAGCCACCACACTTCGCAGTAGCATTCAAAGAACGTGAGGATAGAAAAAACACTAACATCAAAGTATACAAAGGTGCATGTGAGAAGGAATTCCGAAAATGACGGCTTGTGAAAAAATTTAAGAATGAGAAGAGTGAATGAATATGTCATCAAGGGCGATTTTCAGCAGCGACACCAACAGTCCTCAACCATTGGTTCCAAGTCAGGAGTAGAGTTTTAGGGAGAAGAGGTAGGTCAGTTGACGAGGTTATGAACCTTCATTGATCGAGACGGTTGGGACACGTACTACGTATGCCCAGTCACCGATTACCTCGTCACACAATGTTGGCTGAAGTAGGTCCAGGCTGAAAAAAGGCTCAAGGTAGCCAGACTAAAACATGGCACCAATGTATGAAGTCTCTGACTGTTGGTTTAAGCCATGTAGGACGACGCAGACTAGGTGGTTGGGGTCCGCGGGACAAGAGGAACCAGTGGCTGGAGACTCTAGGTGACATGGCTCAGAACCGATGTCAATGGCGCAGATGTATACATATATTATGCTCATCTTAAACGACGCTATACCGAATCTTACCATTTTGCCACTCCTCTTTTCTTTCTTCTCGTACTTTGAATTTCTTTTCACTGCATTCTCTTATCTTCATCCTTCACCTCACTACCTTTCTACTTGATGTACTGACATGAGGTGTGGCAACTCGGACCGTCACGCAGTAATGCCTGGTCCTATGTTGTTATTGATTGATTGATTGGTTCCAGTCCTCTCCGGAACTCCAACCAGGCAGTCTGCATCATCTCACATAGCTCAGACAAACAGTCACCTATTTAACCGACTGGTGCCATGTCTTCGTATGGTCACCCTGAACTCTCTCCTAATCTCATCCAGCTTGCCCTAGCATGCCAAGGTGGGCGGTGGGTCGGCATGGGCAACACATAGCGAATCCAACTTAGTCGATGAAGGTTCACAACATCATCAACCAGCATACCTACCCGGCATAGTAACTATCACTTGACCTCAGGATTGTTCACACAGGGATTCAGGACGTTTAAATCTCTAGCGTAAAATATACAGCAGGGGCCTCAGGGGACTAGGAATCACGATTCGATGGCTTAAACTGTCGGCAGTGGTCACAGAATAAGAGGTTGAAGAAATTGTAAGACGTTTAATATTGGTGTCAAAACGCAAAGACAAGTGGCGAGACAGTGATAATTAGGATAGAGAATATTTCATCGTATTTGCTTCACTACTGCAAGAGTATGGGCGGTTGATACTCCCCGGATGCCCGTGCCATGCAGGTTTTGGAAGAAAAAAACATTCCCGAAGCATAAAATGAGTAAAATAAATAAAATCTGCAATGAAATACTAAAAAATAAATCCATCGTCACAGTATAACTAGCTAAAACATTGTGGTGAAAGTGATTAATTTGCCCACTTAGAAACTGGGTAACAACTGCACATAACTGTTACAAAAAAGGAAATCGGAAATGCAAAATATACTACGTAGTCAAGATTAGAAGAAAGTTGAAGAACAAAACCGACTGGAGAAATAATATCAGTTTTAGTTGTTCTGCAATTGCATGTCACTAGTGTTTGTTGTCTCACAAATATCAGAAGTTAGTATTACAGTTTCCATATGGCATAACATTCACACCCAGAAGTTGGCCTCGCCAACAATGGATGTGCGTTCGGAAGGAACAGCTAAGAGCTAAGAGAATTCAATGACTTCAACCAACTTAAACAATATCGTGAGTAGGTTCAGAAGCCAACTCATCGACCACGTACACGCATGCTTGAGCTACTAAACCATTAGTCAGCGAGTAAGATAAACATGGGACCTGCAATTGCTGTGTAACAGTTTATGTTATTCTTATGATTTGGAAACTGCTATGCGCTCTATGGCCACTAACAAAGCACAGACATCGAGTGTCAGCCACCAACGTTCGACAAATTCCTCTTGATTCCCGACCCGACTAATTAATGGAGAAAATATGATGGACGTATAGACAGATGATGGGGAACAATTGTAGCTCAGGAGGATAACTTTGACGGCATTATGGTCTCTGAGCCGGATGGTTTCATCGAGCTTTCACTGTTGTTATATACATCATACGCATAAACTTCAGAAAGAAGTGACCTATACGTTTTTTTCAAAAGCTACTGAGCAACTTTGTGATTAAACCACTCAGCTCAGAGAACACAACACCATCAAAACACTAAGAAAAGCACAAATGTACGAAGTAAAGAAATTAGGAAAAAAGTATTAGGAGTAGTCGTTTGTGACAGTCGAACAAGGAGTGAACCAAAAGTGAAATTCAGCATGAAGATGAAGAAAAATACTCGGTGATTGAATTCTTACTACTGATAGATTCTGAGCCATACCACTTCGAAATCAAAATGCACTCAGCAATCGAATCCATGCCTGTGCAGTAGACAATGAATCATACCAATTGTGTAAGGGTTTATGATAATACCCAGCTTCTCGCTTTTTGATAGACACAGCAAAGTAGGAACATAACTCACCTACTTTCCAACCAGCGAATTCGGATATCACGCAAACCCCAACTCGAAGGCATACATCTCCCTACCTGGCTCCCACTAACAGTCAGACTTCATGGACTGACACCACGTTTTAGTCTGACAACCTCTAGTTTTAATTATCCTGAAAATGCTGAAGGCATACTGTAACATTTAATTCATGAAAGGCTTTACAATAGAAAGTGGTTATCTGCATATATATGTATAGAATATATTGCTGAAAAATAGTGTTTCTTCCTACTTTAATCCTACATCACGTATCAGAACAAAAAGGGGTTCCAGGCTAAAAAGGAATTAGCCATCGTTTGCTACTTATCGAATCTTAGTGAAGAACTGAGTTATGAGTTTCGGATGAGGTCTACCGAATATCTGCGTATATCAAAACAAAATATGAAAACGTACTTAGGTAATGAAGCTCCGCATTTTTTCAAAAACTCTACAACGTCATCAGTAGTCATTTTAGGAGGAGCATTCCAATAGTGCAAAGTGCGTGAAGGTGGATGAATGCGATTCTTTTTAGCCATGGTAGCTGTAGTATATCGGTTATTTCGATCCTTACTATAATCTTTAAAAGATGGGGAACCATCGGGCAACTGAAATGGACTAGAAACATCCAAAATAACATCTTGTTTACTAGTCCGTACCTGAAATTCAAATGGGATAAGGTGAACAGATGATGAGGAAACCCACTAACAAGATATTAAGAGATATCTAGGAAAAATAAGATTGTTCAAGAATATCAGGAACCAAAAGCCAGTACTCTGGCTCCATCACAAAAAGTTACTGTCTTGATTAGCACAATGTAGTAAAATCAGATTTTCTGAAACGTTGACACATATTTCACAGCCCTGGAGTGTTGCTTAGCAAGATTTAAATGCATCTCTTTTATTACTTGTAACCAAAGTTTGAATGTTAAAATGAGTAACAAATAAGAACTCTGATCTGACCCGTTACTTATAAGATACCCAATGGTTATGATAAGTTGGGTACACAACTGGAAACTGATTTCATGAAATTATAAAATATAATTGCTAAAGTATAATTTGTATCTACCCTGGTTAACTAGTTCACTAGTTAATAGCCGGTCTTAAGCCCGGATAAAGAGGGAAGGTTGGCCATAGGGTTAGCAACCTTACCCCATAAAACCAATCTAACCGCTTAAGAAACTTCAAAATAGAAACAAAGAATAAAAACAAAAACAAAATTATTCCTCGCTAGAATCGGAGAGAGGAAACGACGCCGGCTGGTGAAAGACTTCGGGAAGTCAATTGGCCGATGTGTCTTTTCTTTCTTTCTCTCTCTCTCTCTCCCTCTCTCTCTCGATGAAAGCGA